AGTGCGTGAGTGCGTGTGTGAGTGAGTGTGTGAGTGCGTGAGTGTGTGAGTGCGTGAGTGTGTGGGTGCGTGAGTGCGTGTGTGAGTGAGTGTGTGAGTGCGTAAGTGTGTGTGTGTGTGTGCGTGAGTGTGTGAGTGCGTGAGTATGTATGTGAGTGACTGTGTGAGTGCGTGAGTGTGTGAGTGTGTGAGTGCGTGAGTGCGTGAGTGTGTGAGTGCGTGATTGTGTGAGTGTGTGAGTGCGTGAGTGTGTGAGTGCCTGAGTATGTGTGTGAGTGACTGTGTGAGTGCGAGGGTGTGTGAGTGCGTGAGTGTGTGAGTGCGTGAGTGTGTGAGTGCGTGAGTGTGTGAGTGCGTGAGTGTATGAGTGCGTGAGTGTGTGAGTGCGTGAGTGTGTGAGTGCGTGATTGTGTGAGTGTGTGAGACGTGAGTGTGTGAGTGTGTGAGTGCGTGAGTGCGTGTGTGAGTGAGTGTGTGAGTGCGTGAGTGTGTGAGTGCGTGAGTGTGTGGGTGCGTGAGTGCGTGTGTGAGTGAGTGTGTGAGTGCGTGAGTGCGTGTGTGGGTCCGTGAGTGCGTGAGTGCGTGAGTGTGTGTGTGCGTGAGTGTGTGAGTGCGTGAGTATGTATGTGAGTGACTGTGTGAGTGCGTGAGTGTGTGAGTGTGTGAGTGCGTGAGTGCGTGAGTGTGTGAGTGCGTGATTGTGTGAGTGTGTGAGTGCGTGAGTGTGTGAATGCCTGAGTATGTGTGTGAGTGACTGTGTGAGTGCGAGGGTGTGTGAGTGCGTGAGTGTGTGAGTGCGTGAGTGTGTGAGTGCGTGAGTGTGTGAGTGCGTGAGTGTATGAGTGCGTGAGTGTGTGAGTGCGTGAGTGTGTGAGTGCGTGATTGTGTGAGTGTGTGAGACGTGAGTGTGTGAGTGTGTGAGTGCGTGAGTGCGTGTGTGAGTGAGTGTGTGAGTGCGTGAGTGTGTGAGTGCGTGAGTGTGTGGGTGCGTGAGTGCGTGTGTGAGTGAGTGTGTGAGTGCGTAAGTGTGTGTGTGTGTGTGCGTGAGTGTGTGAGTGCGTGAGTATGTATGTGAGTGACTGTGTGAGTGCGTGAGTGTGTGAGTGTGTGAGTGCGTGAGTGCGTGAGTGTGTGAGTGCGTGATTGTGTGAGTGTGTGAGTGCGTGAGTGTGTGAGTGCCTGAGTATGTGTGTGAGTGACTGTGTGAGTGCGAGGGTGTGTGAGTGCGTGAGTGTGTGAGTGCGTGAGTGTGTGAGTGCGTGAGTGTGTGAGTGCGTGAGTGTATGAGTGCGTGAGTGTGTAAGTGCGTGAGTGTGTGAGTGCGTGATTGTGTGAGTGTGTGAGACGTGAGTGTGTGAGTGTGTGAGTGCGTGAGTGCGTGTGTGAGTGAGTGTGTGAGTGCGTGAGTGTGTGAGTGCGTGAGTGTGTGGGTGCGTGAGTGCGTGTGTGAGTGAGTGTGTGAGTGCGTAAGTGTGTGAGTGTGTGAGACGTGAGTGTGCGAGTGCGTGAGTGTGTGAGTGCGTGAGTGTGTGTGAGTGAGTGTGTGCGTGAGTGCGTGAGTGTGTGTGAGTGTGTGTGTGAGTGCGTGAGTGCGTGAGTGCGTGTGAGTGCGTGAGTGCGTGAGTGAGTGTGTGAGTGAGTGTGAGAGTGTGTGAGTGTGTGAGTGAGTGCGTGAGTGCGTGAGTGTTTGAGTGCGTGAGTGCGTGAGTGCGTGCGTGAGTGCGTGAGTGTGTGAGTGCGTGAGTGCGTGAGTGTGTGCGTATGTGCGTGAGTGTGTGAGTGCGTGAGTGTGTGAGTGCGTGAGTGCGTGAGTGTGTGAGACGTGAATGTGTGAGTGCGTGAGTGCGTGTGTGAGTGAGTGTGTGAGTGCGTGAGTGTGTGATTGCGTGAGTGCGTGAGTGCGTGTGTGAGTGAGTGTGTGAGTGCGCGAGTGCGCGAGTGCGTGGGTGTGTGAGTGCGTGAGTGTGTGGGTGCGTGAGTGTGTGAGTTTGTGATACGTGAGTGTGTGAGTGCGTGAGTGCGTGTGTGAGTGAGTGCGTGAGTGCGTGAGGGTGTGTGAGTGCGTGAGTGTGTGGGTGCGTGAGTGCGTGAGTGTGTGAGTGTGTGAGACGTGAGTGTGTGAGTGCGTGAGTGCGTGTGTGAGTGAGTGTGTGAGTGCGTGAGTGCGTGTGTGGGTCCGTGAGTGCGTGAGTGCGTGAGTGTGTGTGTGCGTGAGTGTGTGAGTGCGTGAGTATGTATGTGAGTGACTGTGTGAGTGCGTGAGTGTGTGAGTGTGTGAGTGCGTGAGTGCGTGAGTGTGTGAGTGCGTGAGTGTGTGAGTGTGTGAGTGCGTGAGTGTGTGAGTGCCTGAGTATGTGTGTGAGTGACTGTGTGAGTGCGAGGGTGTGTGAGTGCGTGAGTGTGTGAGTGCGTGAGTGTGTGAGTGTGTGAGTGCGTGAGTGTGTGAGTGCGTGAGTGTATGAGTGCGTGAGTGTGTGAGTGCGTGAGTGTGTGAGTGCGTGATTGTGTGAGTGTGTGAGACGTGAGTGTGTGAGTGTGTGAGTGCGTGAGTGCGTGTGTGAGTGAGTGTGTGAGTGCGTGAGTGTGTGAGTGCGTGAGTGTGTGGGTGCGTGAGTGCGTGTGTGAGTGAGTGTGTGAGTGCGTAAGTGTGTGAGTGTGTGAGATGTGAGTGTGCGAGTGCGTGAGTGTGTGAGTGTGTGAGTGCGTGAGTGTGAGAGTGCGTGAGTGTGTGGGTGCGTGAGTACGTGAGTGTGTGAGTGTGTGAGATGTGAGTGTGCGAGTGCGTGAGTGTGTGAGTGAGTGCGTGAGTGTGTGAGTGTGTGTGTGAGTGCGTGAGTGTGTGAGTGCGTGAGTGTGTGAGTGCGTGAGTGTGTGAATGTGTGTGTGAGTGTGTGAGTGCGTGAGTACGTGAGTGTGTGTCTGGAGAGCGGTTGCGTAGCGGGTTGCGTGCTGCGCTACCAACCCGGCGACCCAAGTTCGATTCACGGTCACGGCCAACACCAGTGATGGTTATCTGAACCAGGCCTGGGCCTCCCCTTGGTCGACTCGGCCACAAATGAATACCTGGTGTGGTGTGTCAACATCGCCACTGCGGAGACAATGGCGGTCGGGCGTGGTGCTAGCCACCCACGCCCTCGTGTGCCATACCGGCCTTCATAAGTGCTCGCTAACAGCACTTGCCCCAAAAGTATTTTAAGGTTATACGGGGGATCTTTGTTTTGTTGTGCGTGAGTGCTAACATTGAGTGCCCTTCTCATTACGCATCGAACACAATTAGGATTGCATTTTCTGTTTAAATCATCAGCAGTAACAACAGCATAATCATCATCTGCATCATCATCAGCATCATCGTCATCACCACCACCAGCAGTAGCAGCAGTGTCACGAGCCACGGTTATCCACAGCTTTGATCATAAGAAGACCTTGCCACGAGGTAAGTCACCTCCCGCGGCCCACCATATTATTGCCACTGAGAATTGGCTTTTTATATATTTATGAATGTTGATGTCTAATATTATATTGTGTGCTTCGTCTCATTGTAATTAATTATCTTTACTTTACCCCTAGGTGGCGTTTTATTTAGCAATGCAATTCGTAAAACAACAACAACAGATAAAGATTCCCCTATAGCCTTAACAGATCATTGGGGCAAGTGCAGTTAGCACGCACCAGTTAAGGCCAACACGGCACACAACAATGATGGTGTCGCCTGAACGACGCCCGACCGCCTTTGTCTCCCCAGTGGCGATGTTTACACACCGTAGCAGGTGCTCAATTAAGGCTGCGTTGACCTAGGGGAGGCCGAGAACCGGTTCAGATATTCGTCACCGATGTCGATCATGAGCAGGAATCGAACTGGGGCAGTCGGGTTCGTAGCACAGTGCGCTAATCACTGTACCACCGCTCCCCATATATAAGAAAACGACAGAGATTCCCCGTATCGTCTTAACAGGCTGTTGAGAGGAAACGTCTTGAGTCTTGGAATGTTGTTGGTTGCCAACACCATTTCTGGCCGCTTTTGTCTTCCCAGTGGCGATGTTTAAACACCGCACCAGGTACTCATCTGAGGCTGAGTCGAACTAGGAGAGGCCCAGGACCGGCTCAGAGAACGGTCACTGGTGTTGGCCGTGAGCGGGATTCGAACTCGGGTCGCCGGGATCGTTGCGCAGTGCGCTCACCGCTAAACTATCGCGCTCCACTCCCCATATATAATGTATATATATACACACACACAGACAAAACACGCATACACACACGTGTGTGATTCATATTATGCCAACACGCAAATCCATTTAAGAGGCTGTACCCCGAGACCCGTGTCGTGAATCTTGAAGCACAAATCAAGACGATGATTGGCGCGAGCAGCACGTGGTGCCTGGGTCACGACCTCCGCCGCACGCCCGACGCAGGGGGCGAGTCTCCCCACGTGACACAGTCTGAGGTCACAATAAGCCGCGCATGCCACGGCATCCTGGGAGAAATCTGCATCCATTTTTGTTTTATTCTCTAGACGGAGAAATAGGCTGTCAGTCAAAAGCATGTGACAAGAGGAAACGTCTTGAGTCTTGGAATTGAACGGGGGCAGGGAATCGTCAGCACGGATGGATGGGGGAAGAATTAGCCCCGAGGCAAACCTCTCACTGAGTGATGATTGACTCGGTGCTTCGGCAGAACGCCGATGAGAGGGGAGAGGTAGGAGAGTGCGTAGAGGGGGGTAGAGTGAGATGAGAGGGGAAAGGTAGGAGAGTGCGTGGAGGGGGGTAGAGTGAGATGAGAGGGGAGAGGTAGGAGAGTGCGTGGTAGGGAGGGGAATGAGATGAGAGGGGCGAGGTAGGAGAGTGCGTGTAGGGGAGTAGAGTGAGATGAGAGGGGAGAGGTAGGAGAGTGCGTGGAGGGGAGTAGAGTGAGATGAGAGGTGAGAGGTAGGAGAGTGCGTGGAGGGGAGTGGAGTGAGATGAGAGGGGAGAGGTAGGAGAGTGCGTGGTGGGGAGTAGAGTGAAATGAGAGGGGAGGGGTAGGCAGGGGCAACTTCACGGAGGACCTTAAAAACCTTGAGTGCGATCTTGAAACTAATCCGGGATTGGGTTGGGAGCAGGTGCAGGGATTTCAGTGTTGGGGATATGCGGTCTCATTTCATGGTGCGGGTGATAAGGAGGATAGCAGCATTTTAGATCATCTGTAATTTGGAGATCAAACGAATTATGTGGTGCTGCTGCTTCGTTGGAAGTTGTGCACAAGCGCAGTGAACACAAAACACTCAACACATTCGTCAAAAGCACCATTTGGCCCTAAAGAAGAAGAACATATACATAGATACATATAACATGCTACGCTTCAGTAAAAAAATGTCCCTTCTTTATAGCATTCTCCATTCATCTTCTCACCCACGCCATAGGAATGTGGAATTTCCACCGCTCTCTCGGAGTAGTTAAACAGGAGGTGAACGCCGCTTCAACGGCTCATTTGAGAACTCGCACTGACTGGTCGGCAAAACGTCGAGGGGCTCACTCGGCACTTTGACAATGGGCTCTCCTCCATCCCACCCCCTCGACACGTGGGCGTGTTGTACAGCGTGTTTGATGGACTTCTTTCGCGCCGTACCTTGCCAACCGCGCTAATTGGGGGGTTGCGGGAGGACGACAAAAATCAAAGACAAAAAGCAGTTCTCAAGAATCGAGTTTGTCCATCTAGCTCGTTGAAAAGTGCATCAGCTCCAAGTGGCTTCCAGATATCGGAAGAGCGTTCCAGACGGCCGCAGAAGCGGCACATCTGTGGGGGGTCCACAAGTGGCGTAGACGATGCAACTGAACCGGCGGCCCACGGGCTGGATGGGGGCCCCTGGTTCCGGGCTACGAAGAGAGGGGCTCGGGGCGGGGGGTCGGTGCGAGACAAGTGGGTGGGGAGGGGAGGAGATGGGCAGCTCATTCTTTCCATCAGGCCCCATGGCTTCGGTTGCGTCCCTCGACCACTCAGCTGATGAAATATTCATGCGTGCGAGATGAAGAGAGTGGAGGTGCCCACGACAGCACTCACGAGAGAGAGGTGGTGTGAGAGAGTGTATGTGTGTATGTGTGTGTGTGCGATAGAGGGAGAGAGAGAGGTGGTGTGAGAGAGTGTATGTGTGTGTGTGTGTGCGATAGAGGGAGAGGTGGTGTGAGAGAGTGTGTGTGTGTGTGTGCGATAGAGGGAGAGAGAGACGGTGTGCGAGAGGTTTCGTGTGTGTGAGAGGGAGCGGTGGTGTGGCGGTTAGCGTGCTGCGCTATGAACCCGACCACCCAAGTTCGATTCCCGCTCCCCTAGGTCGACTCAGCATCAATTGAGTACGAAGTGCGATGTGTAAAAAGCATCGACACTGGGGAGACAAAGGCGGCCGGGCGTGGTACTGGCCACCCAACCCCTTCGTGTGCTGTGGCGGCCTTCATCGGTGCTCGCTAACAGAAGTTGCCCCAACAGTCTGTTAAGGCTACACGGGGGGTCTTTGTCTTTGTGAGCGTGCGACTGTAGCGGTAGCGTCAGTCAGTGCACTTGTGCCGTGACGAGTTCGCACCTGAGTTCCAATCCCGGCCACGGCCACCACATCCGTCCGTTAATATAACGTCACGTGAACCGGCACCCTGTGCTTTATCCTAGGTAGACTCAGCCTCAAAATGAGTACCTGGTGCGGTGTGTAAACATCGCCACTAGAGAGACAAAGACGTGGTGCTGGCCACCCACCCCCTCGTTGTGCCATTACTGCTTCTAGAGTTGCTCGTTTAACAGCACTTATCCCCCACAGTCTTTTAAGGCTATACGGGGGATCTTTGTCTTCGTCTGTATGTAAAATATCGCGTGTGCGCGTGTGTACGCGTGCGGAAAGCCACTGAGAGACAGCGAGGGAGAGAGAGAGGGAGAGAGCACGCCTGAGAGGCCGAGAGGGAGCGAGAGGACAGCGAGTGGAAGAGGGAGGGGGGAGAGCAATTGAGGGAGGAGGGGGGCGAGATGAGGGAGAGGGAAATTATAGAGAGAGGAGAGCGCTTAAGAGCAAGGGGAGAGAGAGAGGCTCGAGTAAGAGGAGGGCGAGCGATAGAGGCGACGGCCAGGGAGAGAACGCCGCAGGGAGAGATGAGAGCGCAAGAGGGAGACGAATTTGAGATGGGAGAGATGCACACGAGATGGGAGAGTAAGGGTAGAGAGAGTGAGACACTGAGAGACGCTGAGAGTCGAGAGCTTGTTTGGGGAGAGATAAGATGAGGGCAAGCAGAGAGAGAGCGGAGAGAGGGAAATAAATCGTCGAGGAGGGAGTGCGAGGATCAAGTATGGCGAGAGCGCGTAAAGGAGAGAGTACAGAAAGAGAGCGGAGGTCTCGAGTGCGCACGCGAAGGGAGAGGAGAGGGCGTACAGCGCCCTCCCTGACGCGCAGGGCACCAGCACCAGGCACAGGGGGCAGGGGGGGGGGGGGGGTGCGCCACGCGTTCCGTTCCCTGGCGGAGTGGGCGGCGATGACCCTTGCGACTGTGCCGGGGACACGGGGCCCGGGTCTGAGTCCTTCCCACGTGGGCTAACGCGTGCCGCGCGCCGTGCAGATGGAGCGACGGAGCAGACGGAGCAGCCCGGAGGCTCGTAGGGGTCACGGCAAAGCCACCGAGTCGATCACCGCCGAGCGCCTCGGTTCGAATCCGGGTTTCCGCCCCCGCCCGCGATTAAACCGGGTTCTCGAGTGATGGTGTCAGCCCGGTCACCAGTGACTCGCACAGAGACCCGGGGACTCGCGTACAGACACTTAGAATCGCACAGAGACCCGTAGTGTCTCAGCCTCGCTGTGCGCTGCGTTGCGCCACTATCTGAGCAGTTAACCTCGAATTCAATAAACCTTCAGAGCCAGGGTGAACATCTGGCTCCAACGTGTTTAATGAATGAGCTGAATGAACATTAATGGGCTTAGATGAGTATCAATGACTTTCAACGAGTTTCAATGACTTTCGAGGTAAAACTGATGGAAAAACAGAACACATAATACAGCATTCATTAATATCAATACAATTAATGAATATTGCAGGGTCATAATATTGCCTTAGATAACATGAATCTCAACAAAAGGACCGGGATGGACAAGGCACTGAATAGCTATACAATAAGAGAATAGGCTACGGTGTTAAAAAAAAGTCACTTTATGTAATCACCATACTGCAGCCTAAATGCACAGTGCTGCATATAGCACAGCACTGTGGTTGAGATACTTCTTCATCCTTGCTCTCAAGAACACATTGAAGTTACATGGGCGCAAGTCTGGCGTGACTTATCCAACTACAAATAACATTCACAATAATGCAAGTGGCAGGCTTCGCTGTTAACAAGGAGACCATATTCATCCAAACAAAATAAAATAATTTTAAAGGCATTAACAGCATTACATCAATGAAAATATAACAGCATTTCCAGTATTATTATAACATAAACTAACAATGCTTCTTATAATCCTGCAATGAACAGAGGCACCTGTCTTCACTGACACGCTATTTGTGCCTCCATATTGTACTCTGTGTAATGGCTGACACCCCCTACTGGCCTCGTGGCTTAAAGACCTTTGACCCGGAACGTCCTGGTCATGTGACCAAACTCAGCACCCTTATGTCAGGAAGTTCCTGTATAAACACACCCCCATATCTGCCGTGGGACAGAACACATAGAACCATTTCGACTTTGGTGACATTTAACTGAGTGATCAACTGTCGCGAGTTGATGGTCTCAGCTCGGTCATCAAGTCCTGCACAGTGCACACATGAACCAATAATTGGGCTGAATTTGGAACTTCACATGATTCTGAATGTTATTGACTTCAGCTGTGAAGGTGAACCGGCTTGCCATGCCCTCGCCATGCAAGGAACTCTCTGTACAGGGCGGATTTCAGGTGTGCCACGTTGTCGCATGAGGCGGCTGTGATGCGGCCCAGCGGTAGCGAGTTCGTTCGCCGCTTGTCCTTGCAGAGGTTCGCGGTTCAAATTCCAGCGGCCGCCCTGGTACTTACTGCGGGTGCATTAGCCGTGAACAAAAAATACTATGCGTCGTCTTATTCACAGTGGACGTTAAAGATCCCGTGACGTCATTCGCAAGAGTAGGCCATTGTGTGCCGGCGTCACACGGTCCACATTGTTTTGTTGTTGCCACATTTGAAAAGAAATAACCCCGGGGAGTATCCATAGCAATACTCCCACCGCGAAACACTTGGCAGGAACCTCGTCGTTGTACATCGGTAATGAGACTCAGTGAGGCCGTCCTGACTAAGCAAGCGTCATGATTAAATAAAGAGGCCTAATGAAGGCACTTTAGGAGTTGTGTTGTGACGTCAACACAGCGGTACACCGCTCACAAAGGACGATTTTATCGTTTGACCGTAACACGAGGCCACAAAACCAATTATAGAGTCGTTACCATGAGGGTAATAAATAAATAACCACATTCTGAAAATCGAATATTTGAAATCAATATTATTTTTTACATTTCAAAATCGCGTGTTTCCACGATGGAGGGAAAAAACGCTCCCATATATTCCCCTGCCGTCGGTTCACTGAATCATCGCATACACAACATCGCATACACAACATCGCATACACAACATCAAATACACAACACCGTTAAACGTTTGTGTACGGTCTTAATTTACTGGAGTGTGGTGTGGCCTCTTCATTTACATCACTCGGAGGGAGTAATTTCCCTCGTTTGATTATCTATTAATTAGCGCGATCATAAGTCAAGCAACGAGGTCTGGCTGCGGCTAAACACAACGCCACGCCATGAGAAAATTGAGTCGGGAGCAATTGTAGGGGTGTAATTAGATCAGGGCAATGTAATAACCCTCCCCCCCCCCAAATAACAACATGACCCCCCCCTCTCCCCGTTCTTACCCCCCACCACCCACCACTCCCGCGACACACAGAGGTGGGACGTTTCAACGCCGCCAATACGGACCGCGGAATCAGTGCCAGGAGCATCGCGCGCAACATTGGGAATGAGAGGGAACTGTGTCCTGGAATCTGGTGGTGGCCGGTCGGAGCACGTGGAGGGTTATTGTTGTTGTTATCTGTCAAGGTTGTTGACGGTAGTTGCAGCAGCCGCAGTAACAACAATAGCAGCTGCAATCATAGCAGCAGCATCAGCTGTTGTGACAAAGCACCAGCAGTAACGACAGCGGCGAAAACAACAACAGCAGCAGCTGTAAGAAAGCAACATCAAGCGGCAGTTGTATCAATCGCAGTGGCCAGCTGCAACACCACAGCAGCAGCAGACGACAACAGAATAGCAAGCTAGCATAGCTACAGCAGCAGCAGGCAACCCCCTGAAAAAGACAACAGCAGCAGCATCATGCTATGGAAGTTAGGAATCATGGGGCTGAGTGGCAAACTCAGGCAAATATAAACCCTGCCAGCCGCCAAAGGAATGTGGAATTTGCCAAAAGCCTCGAACGAATATGAGTGCTGCGTCAATGCTTTTTTGTGCGGAGAGATTCTGTGAGTTTGACTTGAATTTAGAGGAGGGAGCGGGAGGAGAAAGATCGTGAAACGGGAGTCCATTAACAAGACTCGATCCTCGCACGAGGAAGGGATGTTGTAAGCGAAGGAAACTCTCAGAGCCCAGAAG